TACACAAAATATTTATCTAAGATTTAGTTGATTTCATTTTATTCTGCTGTTACCCTACAAAGTTACTAACTCTTATCAAACTGAACTGATATTTTGACTGAAACTGTGACAGTAAATACACAAAATATTTATCTAAGATTTAGTTGATTCTGCTGTTACCCTACAAAGTTATTAACTCTTATCAAACTGAACTGATATTTTGACTGAAACTGTGACAAAAGGCTATTCTTTTTTGGCTGTTTCAGTGTGTACATAATTTTGTTCAAAGCCACTTGTGGATATCCGTGCTAGATATCTGTCATCCCTAGTTTCTAAGTAATAGACTAGAAGGAAGGCTGTTAACCAACACCACCCACTACCAACTTCTGGACTACTTGTTGTCAGTGGATGACTCTTTACCAATTATAACGACCTCAAGGCTGAAGGGGTGAACATGATATGCATTGGTTTCAATCCAACAGATTGTGAGTTGACTGCCCTAACCACCAGCTAAGCCATGTCAGGCTGTTTATTTGATTGGCAGTTAGCTCTAAATTCAAACCTCCTCCATTTCTATATAGCTTTTCAGCCTCATTTAATATCATTTTTGAGTAAGAAAGTGTAGCAACAAGTTTGAAGATGAACTAGGTCTTACCAGCATTGAAATTATTGGTAAAATTTATGAATAAAATATTCAAGGTAATTACAGTAAAGCAATTATAATTTAATAGTAGTAAAGTATTGTAAGTAATATACATAGTTTGTTTATTTGTTTGGAATTTCGCTCAAAGCTACACGAGAGCTATCTGTGCTAGCCTTTCCTAATTTAGCAGTGAAAGACTAGAGGAAAGGCAGCTAGTCATCACCACTCACTGCCAACTCTTGGGCTACTCTTTTATCAATGAATAGTGGGATTGACCATCACTTTATAATGTCCCCATGGCTGAAAGGGTGAGCATGTTTGTTGGAATGGAATATACATAGTAAAACTATGTGAAATGTGTAGAGTATGTGTTTGGTTGGTTTTTATAGTTAAAACTCAGCTTATCTGCTACTCCTGCCTTGTTATTGAAGTTTGTTCGCCTTACTCATAGGTACTGTTGATAAAATTCAACTTTCCAAAATGAATACTCACCTTCATAAACAGGTTTGCTATGTTTCTCGTGAATTCTTACAATTGTGCCTGAGAAAATTGCATGTCACCAGCCTTCTGAAAACTTTCACCTAAATTCATGTGCATCCACATGATGACATATCATGCAGCTAAACCCTACACCAATAGAATTGCAACATACCTCCTTGCACAAGTCCCCCTTTCTTGATCAGTTTCATGCATGTAACCTCACCTGACTGATTCCTATCTTCTTGCTTATAATCACTTTCCATTTCCTTTTCTAAACACCCAATACTTGGAATCTCTTTTGCGAGTTTCGAAGTCAGATTCTTTGTCAGTTGTCTCCCTATCTAGTACCCAATGTTGCCGACTTGGAGCTTTCCTTACGACTCTTCTTAGATACTTCTTCTCTCTTCACCTTATGACAAAAGAACTTTTCCATTTACATGATGAAATTTGTGGGGACATTAGAGTACTCCTCTTATCTTCCATTTGCCCATTCCACTTCCTCCGTCCTTTCTCTTCTCACATGGTTCTTTTGTTGTTGGAATCTCTTGGAAAGGGAGACCCTTCTTTTTCCAAGTCTGACTACCTTCCTCCGACACCTTTGTTTAACCTCTTTTCTCCATCAGGAAGTCTTTGGTGAGATCCCTGATTCACTTTAGTCTTAGGCTAAAGCTTCCCACCATCAATCTTCCATTTCTGCCATTGTCTTGCATTTGTTCTAATCACACTCTTCTACACCTTTCCCTCACCCTTCCTCCTCCTCCTTATTCTGTCCCAGTATCTTAACCTTGCATCTCCTCCATTCAACATCTCGCTGGTTAACAATTCGGTTGGTATGGGACATATTTTACTGCCAACAGGTGGGTTATTCAGGTCCTGACTTATCATCTCTCCCTTCACTTCTCTTTCCAACCTCTTTTTTCTCTCCTAACCTATTGCTTTTTATCACTCTTGACATTCAGCCTACCTGCGATGGAATACATAAGGGTCTGATGATATTCCAAATGGAAGGGCACAAAATTGGAAAACATAATCCCATTGGACAAACCTGAAGTAATGCTGTGAGGCCAGAGCTATCAGAACATGGAAAAAGGTGTCTGACATACCTGCTTTGGTCCTCCATGGGCAAGATTGGGAAGACTAACAGAGAGAGAAAGAATCTCCCCATCTGAAAATGAGGGATGACCAAGAAATGCTTGATGGAGGATAGGTCAATAACTGGGCACCCATCCCCAGTCTTTCTGGGGACAATGAAGAGGAGAGAATAGTAACCTAGAAAGAAGTCATGAAATCTCTCTATGGCTTGTATTTTTCCAACAGGTTTGATGTCACCCCTTCAACACAAAATATTTCTTTTAATCTTCTTCTATGACCTTCACTGTCACAGAAAAACAATAACTAGGTAGAATTAGTAGCTGAGTTTTATTATGAATATCTATGAGTAAGACCTATAAAGAAAACTTCAATAACTGGGCAGCAGTGATAGATAAATTGTTTTATTATAAGTACCTACAAGTAAGAAAAACCAACAGTACTTCAATAGCTAGACAGGAGTAGTAACTCAGCTGAGGTTTATTATAAGTACCTATGAATAAGACGAAGCAACAAGACTTCAATAACTAGGCAGGAGTAGTATATAAGCTGAATTCTACTATAACTACCTAGAAATAAGACAAATAAACAAGACTTCAATAAGTAGGCAGGAGTAGTACACAAACCGAGTTTTATTATAAGTAGCTACAAGTAAGACAAACCAAGAAAACTTCAATAATTTAGAGGAAGTAGTTAATAAACTGTTTTATGATAGGTAGATAAGAGTAAAACAAACCAAAAAAATATTTGGATAACTGGATAGGAGTAGTAGTAGATAAGCCGAGTTTTATTAAAAGTAAAACAAGAGCATTACAAACCAATAAGAGTTCAATAACTAGACAAGGGTGAATTTACATAGGGGCAGACCAATAGAATGTGTCTAGATACACCTCAGTCTCTCTGTCTGGAAAGGTGCTTTACTGGAAACAGAGGAAAGGGAGACTGAGAAATCCTATATTTATAAAAATTGGCAACTACTAATCAGACAAGTGGGTGAATGCACAAGTCTGGTGCAGACTTTTTCCATGATAGTCATGGAATGGGTATGGTAGGTTCAGACTTGAAATGAAATATAGAAATACCATTGGGAAACCTTCAGCAGTCTTGCAGAATACCCCATCTCACAGAAGGCACTTATAGAGCTAAAGCAGATGGTATGGTCTTGAGAGAGGGCTTGAAGAATGAGATTTAAGTCCAAATCAGGCAAGTGAGTAGGAAGAGGGGGTCTGGGTGAAGAGCAAATATTGCAGAATTAGGAAAGATGGAATGTGGTGGATAAAGCCACAATACTAGAAAAATACAAGCCACAGTCATATAACCAAGTGAAGAAAGAGGTGAGGCATCATAAAGTCAGTGAACAATGATGTAATTTCCTTTAGTACACAGAAAGGTGCAAGATCAACAGAAGTGGGAGAGAAAGAAGGCTACACATTTGGAAAGCCTGGCAATGGACTAGAGAAACCTCAAATATCAAGGAATGTCACATCATGATGGAAGAAAGACATGTGTTGTTGTACCAGAAGTGGTGAAATGATGAGAATTGGAAGGGGACTTGGTTGAGAGAAGACATAGTAGTGGAAACCAAGGTTTAGTGGGCCAGTAAGGACCACCAACAGTACTCTGTATGAGGTGTCCCAAATCAGAGCAAGAACATGAGGGAGAAAGTGGAGAGGAGGATAGGCCTAGAGCAAGAGCTAAAGCCAGTCCTGACTAAGAGCATCCATGTCAAGACTGATGGGTGAGAAATAGGAGAACAAAAAAGAGGATATTTGGAATCAAAAGAAAAAGAAAATGCATTTATCAGTGGAGTATAAAATTTGGAACACATTCAATTGAAGATTTGAGGGTGAAGGGACCATTTTGTGGGTAGGACACAGTCCCTTCAAGAAAGATGGTCCATTACAATATTCAGGGTACCTGGAATATGGCAGGCAATTAAGCTCACCTGATTGGAATGGACCCAATAAAGGAGATCCAATGTCTGGAAGCAGAGGTTCCTGGAATGGGTTCCCACTTTACAGTTGATGTGTGACGCAATCATAGAGTTGTCTGAGTGTACCATAACCAAATGATTCACCAGCAAGGAGAGGAAATAGGAGCAAGTCTGTTATACAGGGAGCAGTTCTACAATGTTGATGTGAAAAGAATGCTCCCCTGAAGTCCAAAAGTCTAAAATAAGAGAGTCATTCATGGATACTCCCCACCCAGTGAGAGAAGCATCCATGTATAGATGAAGGTCTGGCTTGGGAGGAGACAAATAAATGCCAGAGATGGTGTTAGAGTGATTAAGCCACCAAGCAGGATCCTCCAGGAGAGGGAAAGGAAGGAGGATCCATGGAAAGGTTCCATTGCTCATGAAATACCCACTGTAGTGGATAAATATGTGTGCAGCTAAATGAAATAAAGCATTCTAGAGAAGCCATAGTCCCCAAAAGAGATAGACACTTCTACACAGAAGGAGAGGCACAGACTTTGGTGACCAGGTATTCAAGATCTTGCAAACAAAGTGGTGAAGGTTGGGCATGGCTGAGGTAAGAGTTAAAAAGGATCCCCCCATGAGAATGAGATATTGGGTTGGGGTAAGGAAGGAGTTATGTATCTTGATGAACCACCCTTAGTGGGCAGCTTCATAAAGAAGCATGATCTGAGCATTCCTCCTGGGAGTGGGAGAGGAGAAATTAGTCATCCATGTAGAAATGGAACTGTAGTCCCAGAACATGCACATGATGAGTGAAAGCCCACACAACAAACTGTGTAAATCTTTGGTAAAAACAAATTACTGATATAAGCCTTACAAATTAAAACTTACCTGAGTATGATTGAGGGAATGATAAGAAAACAGCTGTATACTACATCTAGAAAGGTTCCAATAATGAAAGGTTTCCAGAATCCTCTAACCAAAGCCCAGACTAATGAACACTGTTTTTTATTCTTTTCATTTGATTCCTTTTCATGAAATTCCTTCACTGTATTATCTGAGCTATAATTATAAATAATAATAAGTTATATACTAAAAGATTTCAGTTATAAGTACATGTACATTAAATATTCAATAACTATAGAGGAGAGAACTATTATAATATTATAAGTGATTCTATACAGTCTTTAAAACCCAATACCTTGCAAAATTCATATGTATTCAAGCCAACAAATTAAGATAAATATACACCGATTCAAAAATTGAAATCAAAACTTTAAAGGACAGGGAATGTCTTGCTGCGTCAAGTGTCCTTTCTGGAGTCACTACTCTTAACATTTGTAAAGGTCCAGTGACCTTAAATTGTTCACAGACTTCAGTGTCTGTGATACCTCAATTATATGTGAACTAGTTAATTCAGTGGTTTCCAAATTTTTTTCACTGATGACACCCTTACCCACTTACCTTGATTTGTAAGACACCCCTGCTGCCACATGCAAATATCTTTTTATGTTCTTAATTATTCTTCATTTGGTTAAACTCTCACAACACCCCTAGAAACTTGCCATGAAACACAGTTTGTAAACCACTGAGTTAATCACAACATGTGTATTCTCCTGGAAAATGTATGTTATTTTCCAGAAGATAAAGAATTATCAATCTCCCTAACTGGTAGTCCCAATTTACTAACTAGATACAAGTATTTTTAATTTTGTTTGTACTTGACAGTATGGAAGTAATAGAAAACACAAGTTCTCAACTGTATTTAGGGAGAAACACCAGGTGTAAAACAATCAACTATAAGATTCAATATGGGGAGGTTGGTGTTATTTGACATATTTATATTAAAGTAGTTTAAACATGTTTTTTTACTATTTCTATATTTTTCTGTACAGATATTATCTGAAAAGTTCATATTTTCTATAGGTAGGTATTTGTTACTCAAAGTAGCGTGTGCGATACAGCTCTCTGAGACACATGGACTATTCTGTAGATTTCTACATATAGAGCTGTATTTTTCTGTACAGATATTATCAGAAAAGTTCATATTTTCTATTAGGTAGGTATTTGTTAGTCAAAGTAGCGTGTGCGATACAGCTCTCTGAGACACATGGACTATTCTGTAGATTTCTACATATAGAGCTGTATTTTGAAATATAAATGGGCTGGAATAAATAGATCAGAGAGATTAGGGATCAAACATTTTTTGCCTTTCTGTCTTAAAAATACACATAATGTTCTTAATTTATCTGCCTTTGTACTCTTGAATTTTATACATACATTAATATAAGATTAATTCTGTTTTGTTTACACCACAGTCAAGTTTAATTCTTCATCATACTAATCTTCTTTTATCCAATCTAAACTAGACTGATAGATAATGGTTGGAGATGGCTTGAATGGGTAATGAAGAAAAACTTTAATATAAGTATAACATAATAGCAAATGTACAACGTTTCGACAAGGTTTTGTCATCATCAGGTCATCGAATTAGACTGACAGATGTTGCAGGTTTTATATTATGTTTCTTTCACTAATAGTATTACCTGTTCAAATAAAACTATTATGTTCTAGTTGATGAAAGCAGTGATTCAGTTTTAAAAACTTATATCAACTTAATGGATAACTTATTTGGAGCACAAAATTTTTAGTTTCATTCTAAGTACATAACTTACTCTATTTGAAAATTAGCATTATTTATGATACTTTGTTGTAAGTATTAGTTTTTATTTTTGATACTGTAAATACATATCATCTGGGTGCTTATGAAATCCTTACATAATCAGATACATTACAATTAATTCATAAGATCTCACCTTTTTATAAACAGCTGTGATTAATGCTGTCTTAATTTTGATTGCTGTTTCAAACATTAGGAACAACACATGACAATTGCAAAGGAACCCACAGAGAAAACAACTGAACAGCAAGCATGCATAAAACATTCCTTGCCACATGGGTTGATCACTGGATACAAAACTAATTATGAAACTAAAGAGAAAAAGAAACATTAATCAACATATAAATGGTGCTATGTGCATACATATCCAGGTGCTATCTTTCATTATAGGTTTGAGTATATTGTATTAAAATTATCTTCAACATGCAAATCACGTGACAACCACAGCCAATATAAAATTGTAATGGAACAGAATATATCAGTACTATATTTTCATACTGTAGGTCATGTGATGCCACTGAAAAATGATCACTTTTGGGAAAGGTATGTAATACCTCTTAATGACAAAAAATATTCATACAATCACACCATAAAGATGTGTTCAGGTTGGAAATTTAGAATTTCGAAGAATGGGATATCCCTTGTACTTAATGGCATTGGGGAACAAAGGAATAAGGATCAGCCTGGGGCACCAGGACCATCCAGAAAGAGATTTGCAACAAGTCATACTCCAGCTAAAGGTAAACAAAGTACAGTGTCTTGTAACAAATGAGAACCCCCCAAAAAAATCAGTAGTAATTTCCATCACATGGCCCAGGCAACAGTATCAACATAATCAAGAAGGATCTCCATCAGGAAAAGAAATACAACTCAAGTGTGAAGAAGTTGCTTCCATAATATATTTGTTCAATTGTCACATATCTCAAGTAGCTGGAGAATAAAACAAGTATTTGTGATATCTCTTATGAAAACATACTGGTCATGTTGCTGGATGCAGTATACCTACAGATTTTTATGTAATTAGATCATTGAAATGGGCATTGGGAAACAGTCATCTTTGTACACTAGATTGAACATGGAAAGCTTGCAGGGAGTAGGAGTGTGTTTTAGACATAAACTCCTTACAACAGTGCTTTTTGCAATGGAAACTATGCTGCAAGACTATGACCTGACATGGTAACATAGGCTGCAATAACATGGTGAAGCTTCAAAATCATTTTAATACAACATACTCAAACTCTGTATATCATAATAGTGTTACGTTTTCATAATTTCTTCAATAATAAAGTTAGACAGAAATCTAAAGTCTGGGTATTGAATAGTTTTATCAAACAGGTATTACAGAAAATATTTACTATGTGCAGTTTCACATCTTCACAATATTTTTAAATTTTATTATTTTAATTATTACAATGAATCCCAAACAAGAACTTACCTTTGAAATACTGAAAGCCTTTCTTTGTTGAGTTTGCACTCTTGCTATCAACAAAACACATGACAAAAATTTTCTTAATATCCTTTATGTATATTCAGAGCACGCATTCCTTACCCAATTCTCCACCATCCTGTTTTACATGTGGTTTATTGTACAAGTGACAGGGAATCTTATGTAAGCTCTGCTTTCTTGTCATAATATATATATATATACTATTGAAATTTGTAGTCATGATGAAAATCTGGTTGTGTGGAGGTGAGTGGGAAGACATTAAAGAAGTAAGTACCTAAATGAAATTAATTTTAATTCCAAAAATGTAAAATTCAAATCAGGTAGTCTTATCTCTGAAATACTAATGCTTTATTGGAAGAAAGTGAAAAATTTCTTAACTTATATAAATGAGAGATGTATTTAATGTTAAAGATTTAATAGTAACCAAATACTGATTATCAGTATAGCTAATTAAATATTATTTTGGTAAGTATCTACTTACAACTATTAAATGCATCATTTCATCAGTTGGTTACCTTTATTGTTAACAATATTTTTGGCGAAAACTAAACTAGCTTAGGAGATATAGGTTAGTCCTAAATACAGATTATCTGCTAACAATGAAAATCAGTCTTTATAATATAAGTTTAATAATTAAAAAGTAAAATACTATATTCAATATAGTAAGTTGTATGCCAATATTATTAATGAAAAGAACAATAACTAAACTTAATAGCATACCTTAGTTAGGGAACCCATAATCACTAGTTCTCATCCTAAACCATAGTCGTTGATGTAAATAGCATACTTTAGTTAGGTAACCCATAATCACTAGTTCCCATCCTAAACCATAGTCGTTGATGTAAATAGCATACTTCAGTTAGGGAACCCATAATCATTAGTTCTCATCCTAAACCATAGTCGTTGATGTAAATAGCATACTGTTACGTCTCCGTTTGTTAATTAACTCTCCGTAAATTCGTTCCGACGAAACTTTAACGACACAAGTCTTTACTTAATAAAACTGGTTTATTCTTTCCGAATATAACTTTACCGATACACTCAACTTCAACAATCGTGCTAAACAAACGCTGTAACAACGAACGTCTACTATACTTCTGACTGCAGTTCAATTACTCACTATCTACACACACATTACCTTCCCATGTCACGTTGTACCCCTCTTATATATACCAGCCTACCCTATCTAGTAAATACTAGAGCATTCGCCAAAGTACAGGATAGTTCTAGAACGTGGAATCACAGTAGTCATGTGACTCGCTGACACAACACTGCCCCCTCCTTAATATTGTTCAATTACTCACTATCTACACACACATTACCTTCCCATGTCACGTTGTACCCCTCTTATATATACCAGCCTACCCT